TCCACCGCGCTCCCCATCGATGCCGCACATCGAAGTCATACCCATCACGACGGGCGGCCCCGCGCCAGCTCCTGGCTGGGCCTACGTCCCCGACATTGGCTACGACCCGAGCAAAGCAGCCATTAACCCCAGTGGTCGCAAGCGCACCGCGGCGCGCCAATCCCAACACCAGGCCGACGCGTACAATGCCGGTAGCGGCGGCAATGCCATCAGCGATCTACCCGCACGGCAGCAGACAGCCATACTCAAACGCATCGCCGAGCTAGACCGCGACAATCAAAAAGACGTGGCACTGCCGCAGGCGCGCGGGGCGGGAGGCGGGGGCGTTCTGAAGCGCGAGCGGGAGGGCAGGAAAATGACGCCCGCCGTGCGCAAGATTCTGCAGAGCGGTCGCACGTTTGCACATTGGCTGGCGGACGAGGAAGCGTTGGCGGCGCAGCGGACCGGCGCGCCTGCTGCGGCGGGCTCTGTTGGGCCCGGGAGCCAGTCTGTCACGGCGACGGCCAGTCCGGCACCTAGCTCGGGCGCGGCAGAAGCTACCGCAATGGCGAGCTCGAAGAACAGGAAGCGCAGTATGGGTGCTGCCGCCGTGGGCAGGGCGGCGAAAAGAGCGGCCGCCGCGACGACTACGACAACCGAGAGCGCGCCTACGACTCCGTCGGCTGCAGTGGTGGGGAGTCCAGCGCCTTCGGGCGGAGGAGTGCAGCAGGCTCCTATGATCGATCTGGAAATGGAGAGTGTGCTGGCGGAGCCTACGCCAATCGACGACTACGAACCGCTTTTGAGAGCCAATGTGCCCACCCTACCGACCGAACAAGAAATCCAGACGCTGCTCGCGCATCCACCGCTCCCCTACACAGCAGCAAGAGCTGCACCACCAGCCGCAGAGGGCCCGTCGCGAAGGCTGTTTTGCGAAATTTGCGGATACTGGGGGAGGGTAAGGTGTCTGAGGTGCGCGGCGAGGGTGTGTGGGCTAGAGTGTAAGAGAGCGCACGATGAGACGAGCTGTTTGCGTATGTAGGCACGGCATCTTTAAGAGCATGGCGAAAATTTGGGATTCTGGCGTTCATGTTCTTCGAGTTTGGCTGCGGACGGCTGCAGTCAATGGCGCAGGTTGATATGGATATACCCAAATGATTGATGGAGGGCGGGAAGCATTCGTTGTCTCATGGCGACAAACCAAGACGAGAAAAAGAAGACCAACGGGTCGAGATGGGAAAATGACAACAACGCGGATCTTACTGATGAGAGAATCTTTACCGACTCTGCACACCAACTGAGCGATGGGATTGTTCTCAAGTACTCGCCATAACAATTGATGGTAAGACGCCATGGGAATCCAAGGACATTGTGGTGACCCCACTTTACGGATTTGGGTTGGTTTCAGCTTCCTGGTATTTTCTTGAGGCCGTCTCCATGCTGCGAGTACTTATATCGAGTGGAGGGACACGAAAGATCCAGCTGGCCAGCTGACCGGTTATCAGTCAGAGGTATCGATGTCTTTCGGCCGCATTTGAGCTCCAGCATGGTGTCGCAGTGGGTGTCGAAGAAATGATGGCGCCTGGAACTGTGACCATATCGAAGGCGTCGTACCATCAATTGTTATGGGGATCATTGGTTCACTGCGTCAGATTGACCTAGGGATCTGTTGTTTGCTGTAGCCACCGCAGACCCATAGTATCCTTTCTCTCAACAGTCTTCTCTCAAGCAGCGAGCAGAATCCTCAGTCAACCACACCACCTCAACCCCACCGTTTACCTGACCCAGCACCCGCACTCGCCGTAAATCCTCACTTCAACACTCACTCATGTCGCTACCTCCCAACAGCCGTGCGTTTTTTCCCTTCCCATCCCCATGCCCATCCACTGCTGCCTACAACTCTTCTCGCAACGTCAGCCTCAGCCCCCTCCTTTGATGACGTTCCGCAAAAACAAGCCAAGCCAAATCACAAACCACAGCGCCCTTGGCCAAAGCGCCACATCTCTCTCATCTCTCTCATCTCTCTCATCTCTCTCTCACACCTCTTTCTTTCCCTCCTCGGCCAAGATGAATGGAAAAGTCGCCAAGCCAGTCAGACGCGAGAGAGCGAGCTCCGCTTCCCCCTCCGCCTTCGCCTCCGCCTCCGCCCGCCAACGCCGTGTCTTGGGTCGTCGTACCCCACCCCGGCACTCAGTCTTGGCGGTGCTTGCTTGCTTGCTTGCTTGTGCGCTACGAGACTTGAGACGTGAGTGCTCGGTGCCTGATGGAATGTGCTGTACCTGGGTACTGTAGGTAGGTAGGTAGGTAGGTAGGTAGGTAGGTAGGTAGGTAGGCAGATAAAAGCGCAGCAGCGCCGCCGCCGCTGGCGCCCTACTATCGCGTCCCGTTCATCCCGTCCGTCCCCGCGTCCTCCGCGTCTTCCGTGCCTTACTTTGTGGCTACACGACACAACGCAACACAACACAACGCCACACAACGCATAAGCAACAACGACAGCAAAAAGCAATCTGTAGTGCTTGAGCTTCAGGACGCGACACGACCCGACACGACACGGGCGGGACAAGACGGACCCAGCGGAGATAGACACTATGAGGTCCGTCTGTCCGTCTGCCCGTTTGTCCGTGTGTTTTAACTATCTCATCTCACCTCACCTCGTCTCATCTCATCTCATCTCGTCGCTGCATTCGTGTGGCTCCCCCCGCCTATCCCCTCTTCTCCGTCCGTCCGTCCCGTCACTCAGAGCCAAGAATGAGTGACGGTGCTTCCCACGTTGCGTTGCGTTGCGTTGCGTTGGATACAGAGAGGAAATTCACTCCGCGACGTTGTTGGCTATGTGGAAGAGGGCTGGCTGGGCTGGGCTGGGCTGAACTAGGCTGAGTTCTTGTGGGAAGGCGCAGGAAGGGGTTTGGCACTTGGAAAGCCAGATCTCTGCTTATTATAGACTTCCTACCTGAAAAAGTCAGCTTGACCACAATACCAGAGTCTACACATGACGGCTGCACACTAATCATAGACTAAGGAGGGAGCCGGCTAAAATTCATACTAAGATGGCAGCAAGTCAGTCTAGACACTTCTCCAGTTAAGTGACGTGGGGTCATAAGGATGATAAGTAAGAAGCCGATTGCGCATCATGCATTCATCTAACGGTGGTGTCATACAGCTGTTGCAAAGCATGCCATGGCTAAAGACAGATACCTGACTGTCCTCTGACCAAGAACCACTATCCATAAACCCCGGTCGGCGGACACCATGCCCACCTATAGACAAATGTCTGACCATCCACCAACCATCAATCTCCACCAGCATGCCCAGGAAAGGAAAAAAAAAAGAAAAAAAAAAAAAAAAAAGCCAAATGCCTGAACTTACCAATGATGCACCAACGACCATCAACCCGACTATCCTGCCTGGGGGGGAAAAAAAATACCTGCGGTCCGTTAGCCAACGTCCATCAACTCTGCCATCCTCTCAAAAAGAAAAATGCCTAAACTTATCAATGATGCGCCACCGTCCATCAACCCGAACAACGACTCAACCCCCCTCATCCACTCAAAGCTGCGCACCTTTCCGAGTATCTAGTAAACCGAGGTTTAGCTCTTGGCTACGATCAGGGTATCTCATTCTATTCCTTGAGGCGTAGAGCTGCATCGGATTTGGTTCGTCGCGTCGGCCTTGAAAATGCGCGCACTGTCATGGGACATGCCCCGGAATCGCGTACTCTTGAGCGGTATTACCTTTCCCTTGGTCCAACCCTTGACTTGGGTGCCACAATGTCGGAGCGACCTGTTGAAGATATTGCAGTCAATGCTTTCTTTGGCCTGTTTGACTGACCTGTACGTTGGCGCAGAGGTTGACCTCGAAGATGAGGCAGCACGTGAAGGAGCTGACAAGATTACTCTGTCGGTCGACCAGCACGAAAGTCTCTTTGTCCAGCAGGGTGAACCCGATGAATCTCCCCAGGTATGCGTTGCAGGTTCCCTGAACTTCAAATTCGTTGGAAACGGCAGGCTTTTACCCATTCGGTAGCCCATGTGCTGACAAAATTTGCCTCAAGACTCCTCATGAAGAACGTCCTCTTCCATTCAAAGAGCTTGCAAGAACCTTCATGGAAACGATTCTGACCAACGCCTTGTCCATGTCGATCGAATGGAAAGTCGCCAATCGCACCTGCGAGCTGTGCGAAGAGGACAACACTGTGGGAGAAGTTTCAAAGCGCAAACAATGGGCTTCGGAAGTTCATTTGAGGCGACACCAGGAGGGAACTTATCACTCTCGACGGAGTCGTTGGGATCGCATGCAAAAGCACCTGGTGGAGCAAAATCCTGGCCGTGGCTGGGTGTGCCCCTACTGCCCACAGTCTGCCCAGAAAGATTACGGCAGTCTGAGCCATTTAGTGCGCCACATTCTGGGCACTGGAGAACGTCGCAGAGAAAGCGTTCTCAGTGACGAAGCGCTGCTATTGCATGAAAGGCTCAAGGCGGAGGACGGGTGGTATGATGACGATTTCCAGGGTGATGTGAGCACCGAGCGGAAACGATCGCGGGAAAGAGAGGCGCGCCGGTCTACTTGGCTCGATGGGTCTCGAATTCGTCGCAATGCCACATTACACCGCTCCCGAGCCTCACCTCACCCAGACTTCCCTGGTGTGCTTCAGCGCGGCGACTTCGGTCGGCGCGACATGCCGGCTCAGTATCAGGGCTTCCTCAAGCCAGACTCGACCTACAGCGCTGGTGAGCCGATTCCCGATCATTTTCGGGACATGCTCACCACCGCGCCAACGCCGCAAGCACAGATTGATCATGCCATGAACGTTCGATTCAAAAACATTCTGGAATCAAAGGCGGCTCCTGTCTACTTCAAGCGCCGTGCGCAAAATCAGCCTCAGCCCGAAGTAGGTAGGTAGTTAGTTGCCATACTACATCCGTGCGCCGTAGAGCGGATCTAGAAAAAAAGATTAACATTAATAATTCATCTCTTTACTCATAGTAGTGGAAGTCTCTCCACTCGCTTAGTGCAAAAAGAATTGGATCCGCCGAGAATTGAACTCGGGACCTCTCCCATTTATGGTTTGCGCGATCTGAAGCTCTCTGAGAAGGAGAGCTGTTGATGTTGCTAAGGGAGTGTCATACCCCTAGACCACAGACCCGTAGTGTTGTTCGATGATAAGGCACGGGGCAAGAATGATATATATAGTGTAGAACTGAAAAACACCAAAGGAGGAACCGAGATCGGAGACTCGAAAACTTGGCTAAGACGGGAGCCAGGGGGGCTGCGGACCAGGCTTGCGCACGGGCGGGGAGCGGGAGAGTTTGCCGAACAACGAACGACGAAAAAGAAAACGGAGCAGCGAGCGACAGCCGACGACGAACCGGGAAACGCCTGCGCGAGCAATCTGCACAAATCCTGCGAGCGGCTACAGGGAACGTCTGGTCGCGCGGTTCGATCCGCTCGTGATGAGGTCTAGACAAACAAATAATGATGAAAAGGTCACCCGATTGCATTGCCCGCCGTCGAAGTGGAAAGAATCGCGCATCCGTTCGCGCCGGTCCGTTTCGCGTGGGATGCCGGCGTCCATGGCGTCATGGCAGTACATGACAACATGATGGTGTTGGTGTTGGGTCTTTTTGGGTCGGCGCTCATCTTGTCGAGCAGCGATTGCACAAGGTGCATGATCAGCCAGGTAGTAGACAGGTAGCACGTCGATAGCTATTGGAGTGTTATGCTAAGCAGTCACATAAGCAATCAGCCAACTCTTGAGCAGGGAGTAGCTACCTGTGAGCAAGGGCTACACTTGATACTCTGCCATGGCGTAGCCTCGATGCTTCTGCCAGGCTCCATGCATTGCTTAGTTTGGAGCTCGCGTATTCATGTGTGGACAGGCCGTGCCGGCGGATGGGGTTGTTCTAGTCGGCGAGCTTGCTTGTTTACGCGCCGGCAGCGACGGGTGTCAAACGTCAAAAGCGCTCATCGAATCCTGGCATGCCGCTGACCAACAGAATTCCGGTGAGAACCATCCGAACGGGAGTTGCGGAGTTTGGACGGGAGGGCAGCTCGCTTACGTCCAAAGAGTCATTCGAGGCGACGGAAAGCAACGGAAAGCAGTAATGAAGCGGCGACGGCGGCCGACAGCGCCAAAGAGGCCGCAGGACAGCAGAGATTTTCCGATCTTGTTCGATCTTGTATAGCAAAAGGCGATGGACTGGTAGGTGCTCAATTATCGGACGGCGCTGTCTCGGGATTGGCAGAGTCCGGGCTCCGAATGGCATGGCGCTGGCCGAGCTTGCGGTTTGCTCTTGGCCGATATGAGCAACAGCAGCCGACAAGGTGTGTGTTGCTGATGCCACGTGCGGGCACTGGGTGCAGTATGCTGAAAAGTTTGTCATGCACGGGAGCTGCTCTATGTCTGTCAAAAATCATTGGACGCCAAGCAAGCCGACCACCACTCAAGAGCGGACGGAAGAGGAAGCATTGCTGATCCGCACAGGCTGGGGATGGGCAGTTTGGTAGAGGATTTAACATCAGGTGTGTTGCAGGGCGTGGTGGAAAGAGAGAGCGAGTTCGCGATGGCGGGCGTCAGCAGCAAGGGTTGAATGTGCAGTGTGATGATGTGATGGTCCAGGTACCTACATAGGTACAACATGACGGGCGGTCCGCCAACGGGGCCGGGCTTGCAAGGCTATGAGCATGACTCGAGCCACGATACCCCAGGATTTGCTGTTGGGGTGGTGGGGCAGGAGGAAAAGATATGTTTTTGTTTGCCTTGGCGTCGAGGATGCGGCGGCATGGATTCGCGGCAGTGAGCAGCATGTGGTGGTGGTAGTGGTGGTAATGGTGGTGGTGGTGGTGGTGGTGGTGGTGGTGGTGTTGGTTTATGCCTACTTGACATAGGGTAGGGAAGACGACGGCTGGGACCGCCATGCTGGGATGCATGCTTCTGACTACATATCCAGGTGGGTAGCACCTGATGAAGTTGCCCAGCCAAAATCCCAATTCCGACGAGCACATGCGGGCCGTGCTGACGGCGAAGCTGATGGTGATAGTGAGCTCGCTGCCCGGGGACTGGGGGCGGCAGAGGCTGGTGTGACCATCAGACGCGACGGCTTGGGAGGTTTCCGGATCTCTCGGGATGGCGGGCCCTGGTCGACTGCCGAGGCGCGCTGGGGCTGACGGGCAGACTGACCGACCGACCGACTGACTGACTGACTGACTGACTGACTGACTGACCGTCATGATCGAGAAACTTCCTACATCGCGACTCTCGGGGACAATTCCCACTGAGGCTGATGTGAATGTGACCTCAAATACCTGGCCCGCCCCGGCCTCTCCCAAAATATCGCCCAGTACCTATTTGTGTGCTCCATCGCTTCCGCCTTTCGTCACCGGTACCTTCCCGTGCCCAGTGCCTACTATATTCTGTTGCTCGCAAGCGGACAAAGGCGCCTCTCACTCTCTCACGTCTTTTCTCTCTCTCTCCCCCCCCCCCGCTCCCAAACTCTTCTTCTCTCTCCAGTTGCTATTCCTCCAACTGCTTCTGAATGCAATCGCGCACCCTCGCACTAACAGCCGCGGCATCTCTTTTGTCGCTGGCCTTTGCCCACGGCGATGAAGCCCACACAGCAGACATGCCCGCCATGGACATGAATATGAACATTGCCGCCGACGCCGCTCCCAAGCACGCCGAAGAAGCATTCACTGCGCCAGGAAAAGAGGGATGGCCTCTGAGCTACTGGAGCTACTCGGAAAACGTCGGTCTTTTGTATACTTATATGGCGCTTGTTCTGCTCAACTGGATCATCATCGCTCCGCCAGGTGTGCATACGACTCTCAAATAGAAATAATCGAGCTCGTGCGCTGACCTCGCCACAGTGGTGATGCTGAGCGTTGCGCGCTCACGCTTCGCACTTCCCGCCCAGTTCCTCTTCCTCGCGTCGCAGGGAGTCGCCCTGTTCACGGCAATCATATACGACGCAAGGACTCCGGACCTCTATCCCAACAACGCCCACTACAAAGTGCGCTGGATAGTCTTTTGGATTTCGGCCGTGTGGGTTGCCTTGGGTCTCGTCAACCTGTACGCCGATTGGACCAACCGTTCCAAGACGCAGCCGCTTTCGACCGCCCTCATGGCGCAATATCAGCGGTTGCAGCAAGCCCAGCAGACGGCACCCAATCGCATGTCCTACGATTCTGGTCAGGGAACCGAGCGGAACTCGGGATCCCTGTTTGGACATTCGCTGTCCCCTTGCGCTGAGTCGGAGGACCGCCGCCATTTCCACGACGCCCACGACGACGACGACGACGACGACGACGACGACTATGAAGCCGCTGCATTTGACGGTGCGGACAATGTCGAGGAGAAGCGTGGCTTCTTGCGCAACACTCGCGTGGACCGCTTCATGTCCCGCGTAGTGCCCCGCATCGGCGATCGTCCCCTCAAGATTATGCGCTTCTTCTATGTCTTGGTTGAGCGACTAATCCTTGTCCTCGGATTCGTGTCCGTCGCGACTCTCACGACCACAGTCGGCGGTATCTCTGTAAGCTGATCGTCTCTGCGCCCTTCCAGCATATGACTGACTTCTTGATAGCGCGGCAACCACATCTTCAACATCTTGGCGCACTACATCAAGGGCGCCATCTTCTTCTGGTATGGCCTCTTGACCCTCGGTCGCTGGATGGGAAGCTTCGCAGACTTTGGCTGGGCGTGGAATGTCAAGCCTCCGCAGGAGCTTGTTGGCCGCGCCAAGACACGGATCCCAACTGCAGAGTTCACCGAGTCCTTTGTCATTTGCGCATACGGCGCCTCCAATGTTTTCTTGGAGCACTTGGCCGCATGGGGAGGCGAATGGACGGCGCAGGACCTGGAGCACGTGTCCATTTCAGTCATGTTCTTTGGCGGTGGTGCCCTGGGCATGCTCATCGAATCCAAAAAGGTGCGCGAGCTGCTCAACACTTCGATATTGAGCACTCGGAACAACATCCTGCACGCAGACGACGACCACTTTGAGCGGCCCAAGTCCTACAGCGTCTCGCTGAACCCCATGCCGGCCATCATCATCCTGCTGCTCGGCAAGATGATGGGCTCGCACCACCAGTCTTCGATGCTGTCGACCATGGTCCACAAGCAATGGGGCAACATGTTCATGGGCTTTGCTCTGGCGCGTTGCGTCACGTACGTTATGCTGTACTTGTCGCCGCCAACATCTTTCCTGCCCGCGCGTCCGCCGTCCGAACTCGTCTCGTCATTTTGCCTGATTGCCGGCGGCATCACCTTCATCGTCAGCAACAAAGACACGGTTGCCGCCCTCGAGTCGTACGAGCTGGATGCCATGTTCACCTTTGTCATTACGGTTGGTTTTACGGCGCTAATCATGGCATGGTCCGTTGTCAACCTGGCCCTCAAAGGCTGGGCTGTGCGCCGCGAGCACGGCGTGACTTTTCCTAAGAGCAGCGGCAGCAGCACATCTTTGCCCTGATTTGTCTGCAGCCTTTGGCAGTGGTTCTGCCAACAAACCTTAATGATACCCAGCAATAGCTCTCTTGTTTCTAACTGTACACGGAAGCGGCGACGAAACTCGATACCCTACCATTACCCTTGATACCCTCGCATCGATAGACACAGCTGCTCTGATTGCAGAGCCCCGGAGTACTGGGTGGAAGCGGTGTGGTTGCGAAATGGAGGTCGCTTTCATGGTCGACGTCTCGTCCGTTTAAAGTCTTCGCTTCGCTTGGGTCGCTCGGCGATGCGATCCGAGCCGGCTGTGGCGTACCTGGCGGTCAGCCCTGCAGGCCTTAGGTACCTTGTCGTTGATGTCGGGGGCTGGCGGCGCGGCAGCGGCAGCGGGCAGCAGCAAGCGGGACGGAGGGAGATGGTCGAAAACTTTTTTTTTTTTTTTTTTTCCCCTGTTGCTTTTGGCTTTGCTTGCAATTCTTGACGACTTTCCCTCTCTCTATCTCTCACACACACTCTCTCTCCCCCCTATACTTTATCTTCCCCTCTCAATCAAACGTCTCTCCTTTATTCACGTTTTGCATGCGCACGATGCCGCGGTTTTGTCACGTTTCATGGTCCTCTCTCTGGTTTGGTTCTTTTTTTCCCCCTCTGATTCTTTGCCTACGATACCACCATTGCAGGATTTTTGTCACAAACTG